GAAGTGCAATTTCATTAGTGATTTGGGTGTGTATAAGAGAGGTTATTGTTGGTTTGGGTTTTGGGTTTTTTATTAGAGACGTTTGGAAAGAGAATGTGAGGAAGACAATGTCGAAAATGGGTAGTAGAGTGAGGAAGATGTTGATGATACAGAGTGGTTAGGCCTTTATGGAAGGGTATTATGATCAATTTTACTGTCAAATTAACGTCATTAAGGCTCTTTTGACCCGAAGGGGGTTTTTGTATATTAGTTTCAAATGTAAGGGAGGTCAGTGTAAGTTTTGAAACTACAAGTGAGGTCCTTATAATTAAGGCAAACTTCAGGAGAGGTTAGTGTATTTTACCCTATTAATAATTTTTTTTTAAAAATTATCAAATACAAATAATAATAAAAATAAAAATTTAGTATATTTTGATATTTTATTGTATTTAATGAATTTTTTAAAGATTTTTGTATAACTTTTGTACTTTTTAAGTATATTAAGATTAAGTGAATCTGAAAATTGATACTATACAATAAATCACTAAAAGTACAAAAGTATGAATTGAAAATTTATAAAACTATTTTTGAAAACTCCAAACTAAGCAAAGTAATTAATTTTTTAAAAAAAATTATTTAACTTGTTTTTTTTTTTATTAATAAGCGACAAACGAAAATTGTGATAAATAATTTGACACATATTCTCAAAATAAAATAAATTGTAAACTATATGCAGTTCACATAAACTAAACCCAGAATGCCAATGTACGGAATGGTTTAGCTTAACTTGTTGCCGGCTACGAGTCCTTTGACGATTTATTTTGTTTAAATTCTTGTGTTTAGATTGTATATAAAAATTATTAAATTAATTCGATAATCGTATTCATATGATTTTATTATATTTTTTTTTGAGAAAAAAAATAAATAATTTATTTTTTAAAATAATAAAATTATGTGACTATTGTTACTGAATCAATTCGATTTATTTATTTTTTATGTGTACATGAGCTACATATAGACTTAAAAAATAAACTGAAAGTGAAGTCCAAAGTAAACTCCTATAAACCAGGATTGGATTGAAGTCTAGTTGACTAACATGGATGAAAGAGAATCCACCCACACTTATAAAAAATTGATCAATCAACTTTCCTTAAATAATTTTTTTTTTAATATTTTTTTATAACAATAATATTAGAGGCACTACATAAATTGTATCCACACACTTTTAAAATGTATTTATTAAATACTTAAAAATTTAGGGCCAATTAGATTTGGCCATAAGAGTCAATTTTGGTGTTTCCCAAATAGCCATTAGTGTTTATGTTAATATTTTAAAAATCAGATCGGTGAGTGAATCAAAAAAATGATTGAATAAACGGATTATCAGTTCAACTATCGAGTTGAATCGAAATCGAACCGTAATGTTATAAATATATTAAAGTTATATTTAAATAAAAATATAAGTAATAAAATTATAAATTAAAAAAATTAAAAATATTAAATTATCTTAAATATTTCTCCTAATATTCTTTTTACTAAAAAATATAATAATGTGTTTTAAAATATTATTAATTTTAATTTTAGAACAGGAAACCAAATATTTAATATGCCTTCCATATGATTTTAATTCAAATAATTTAATTCAAAGAAGAGTAAAAATTTTAGAGGGATATCAAATTTTCAAGTCTCTCTCTAATAAATTTGATTGAATCTCACATAAATTTTTTGAGTTTTTTTTTTGAAGAATTTTTTTCTTATGGGTAAATTACAAATACACCTCCTGAGGTTTGCTTGAAATACAGATTGCTCCCTGTAATTTGAAAAATTACAAATACCCCCTTATTAGGATTTTTTTATTTAACAGAATTAACTAAAAAATTGAAATTCCTAATTGCTCTCTTATACAATAATAAAATTACCTAAATTATTGATTGAAACATATTTTTAACATCATTCAAAATTGTTAATTGACTTGATGATTTATTAATAAAAGGGGTGATTTATTATGAAATGAGAAACCTCAGGGGGTGGAATGTAATTTTCAAATTCATGGGAGTGATTCATATTTTAATCAAATCCCGGGGGGTGTATTTGTAATTTACCCTTTTCTTATAAATAAGTAGAGACTTTTACAATAATTTCAAACTCTCAAAGGGATTCCTCATAAGAGGAGACTCTTGAAAGAGAATTTATAATTGAATTTTATATATATATATAATCAAAATTTTTATTTTTTCAACTCGGTCGGTTTGCTTGACCCGTTCCCGGGTCACCTGATTCGACGGTCCAACCACTGATTTTTTCGGATCTCTCTAAATAGGCCGATTTTTAGGTTGGAATGGTTTAGGGATATATCTGAATTGAAACCCCAACCGATCGACGTTCAATCGGTCGAATTGACCAATCCAATCCAATTTTCAAAACCATGGTTCATGTAACTTTACTCTTAATATAGTTGGCAAATTATTTATTTATTTTTAAAAGATGAATTTATCGACCTTTGTTATACAAATATAGCATTTAAAGTTGCATTTGGATGTTGAATTAATGTAAAGATATTTTGAAGGAAAATTTTATTATACATATTCTTTATGCACTTTTAATTATGTCTTTTTTCTTTAATTATAACTAATTTTCTTCTTTAGTTATGGCTTATAAGATCTTTAGTTATATCTTATGTGATATTTGTTTATATTTTTTTTAAATTACAACTTAAAAAGTATGAAATTATATCATTTTTTATTTAATTATAAAGTGTATATAATGTACACCTTTCAAAAGGTGTGTACCATAGTCTTTCCATTTTTAGAAAGACTATAACCCTTTATGGTGTGAATCTTCTTTAATTTAAACATTAATTATTGTGAAAATGGTTTGTAAACAGAAAATTTATACAATAAGTGCATCTAAAATATTGTGTCAGTAACATTTTTAAATATGAAGATATTGATAAGACTTTTAGGTTTCGTTTGTTTTCAGAGATAGAATGGAGAGAATTGACAGTGAGAATATTAATAGTAAGAAGATTGTTAATGAAGGGATTGATAGTGAGGGGCTTAGTAAAATTATGTTTGTTTTGATGATAGTTGTTAGTGGGAGGATTGTTATATTATTTTTATATAAAATAAATATAAAATAACAAAACAAATAAAATTATGATTTTTACTTAACAAAAATTATAAAATCATTAAACATTAATGTTCAAAAAAAAAATGCCTAACATGTAAAATAAAATTAAAAAAAATGCAATTGATCGGTTGACTGGCTAGAAGGCGGACGATCGACAACTCACTAAGTCGACGGACTATTTTTGTAATACCACCTCTTCGCCCAAACTAACAATCGGCTCGCCCAAGGCCTATTCTAATTCGAATGGACTATTAATCTGGAGGCCACAAACAAAACAAACGTGAGTTAAGCTCACTATTTATCTATCACAGTCCACTTCAGATTGACGAAAAATAAACGAGGCCTTAATTGAAAATGAAAAGATAGAAAGAAATAACTTTATTTATATATCATTACATTACACTAATTATTATAAATTTTGAAAAACAAAGGGTATGAAGGCATTAATGGATTGTCCATTAATTATATCTAGACCCTTCTATTCTTTTTTCAATTTCTAAAACCCAATCACTTACCATAATTGGTCAGATACCCACCTAAATTCATGGTCATTGATGATCACTTTTAAATAGGATCAAACAAGATTTGGAACTATAAAGTAGATTTGTTCAAGTTCTATGATATCTAAGTAATGCATCTTTTAATACCAAGACTTGGCATGAATTTTAGATTTGTGAAAGAATTTGTTATTAAAGAAAAAGGAAAAAAAGTGAATAAAATAGAAAATGCAAAAATTTCGCTTGTCTTCTCCATTCTCTTTACCGATAGATCTCTTCCCAAATTCAAAATCTAAACACCACTTGAAAGTTTTTTTTTAAAATTTATTCCTTTTATTTATGTGTGTGTGTGTGTGTGGAGTTTTATATGATTTTATGAAACTTTTTGAGAACAATTGAATACATATGTTCGTCCCCTTTTTCTTATTCTTTCATTTTAAATAAGTTAAAGATCCTCTTTTATTAAATTTGTGTATTTTTATCTCAAAACATTTGCAAGTTATGAAATTATATAACAATTTTAAAATACAAAAAATTCAAAATATAATATAACTAGTTTGTAGCTTCAAGCCCTAGAATTTGATTTACTCGTAAGAACACTTAATCTTGCCTCTTCCACCTCCCCTTTTTTTTCTTTTTAATGAGTGCCGCTTCCATCATCTATTAGCTTCCATCATCTATTAGCAGGTGTTCCACACATTCCAACTATTTAAACACCAGTAATGATACATTGAAAAAATGCAGGTGCCCACTCCACCTTGTTCATTTATTACAAGAACCAAGTATGGGATTTAAAAGAAATCTCAAGTGATGAACAAGTTAAGAACATGTCTATGCTCAAGGATATGTGAGCTGCTTTTGACCTGCCAGTATCTTTTTCTATTTTTTGGAATCTTAACAAAGAAGTATGGCTATTTACTACACCACACATTCACAGTTTGACTATTTACATGAAATAAATACACTACTATAAAATACAGAAATGGCCCATCTGTTTTTAAGTATTGTCCATCAGCTTTGAAGCCCATCTGTCATGAGCTGGAGATTTGTCCTTTGGTTCTTTTTTCTTCCATGCATTAGACTATGACATGTGTACTCAAAAAAGTTTATCACATGGTTGAACTAAGATGGGCTAAACTTATCTCTCGTGCATGTAAAATGATTATGAGCCAAATCCTAATACATGTGAACTTATAAAAGCAGGCGAACTTATAAAAGCTAATGAGAAAATTATTATATGTAAACTGACAAACCTTTCACAAACTGATTCAACAAACCAGGAACCTGAAGATGCTGCTAGTAAACATTAACTTCAACTTCACTCCAGACTTAAGAACAAGGATGAAATAAGGGGGGGAAATAAAAACAAGTGACAATAAAAAAAAATATACAAGTGGCAAGAACAATTTACAGCTAAGCAATAAATATGTCATCATCACGAGATAGAGTAAAAGATGATGCAGACACGCCATACCCGATCTAAGAAATATTTGGCAACATCTGGAAGCAAATGAATTTCTTTCCTTCTCTTGTAGGTTTCCTGGATGGCAGGATCCTTCCAAATCTCATCTACAATAGGAGCATATTCACATGTTGCAGCAGGAAAGAAAGCATCCAAGTCTCCCATAGCCATGATTTCCAGTAACCAATCAGAAAAATGCTTGAACCTTTGGTGGATGGAATAAACACAGAGTTTACTTCCATTGGATCCTGTTTCACCTGAATTCATTTGACAAAAACCATTATATGAGCTCAGCAGCCTACGAAATAATATTTGCATACATATATACATCTAGCCACATATTAACCATGAAAGTCTGAAGTCATCCATATTTCAATCACCAAGTCAAAATCTTTAACTTAAAAGAATGACAAAGGGGCAAACATTATAGATTGGAAAGAAAAATTTTATATATGCAACACTAACTGCCAAGAAATTAGTAATTAACATTTAGAGAAGAACAAGGAAGGATCTAATATCCACGTCTGTGGCATAAAATACTGTGGTAATCAGATTGGCTTCTTCAGTCATTATTTCCTGGCATGTATAGATGATATAGTCCAAATGGTGTGAATGTGAATCCAATTCTTTTGTGTGCATATGTCAATGTAGAATTGATAATTATATTATATAAAATATATTCATAAGGCGCAAAACGGGTGCACACACCATTGAATTTGTGAAGATCTTCAACAAGGACAAACCAACAAAAAGACGGCAAAAAAAAAAAACTGAGAAACTGCTTACTGTTAAACACTCTTACATGTCCCTTCTTGTATTATGATAAAAGTATTTATGTTGTTTCTATTACGATCTTGAAGGGAAGTGAACGCTTTTAAGTATAATATTGAGACAGTAATGATTCATGCTACATACGCACATGTGTGTGTGGCGTTTGCATGTTCATTTAGTAGAATGGGAAACTCTGCCCACAATGTCTGTTTCACGGGGATCAGCCCCTTAATGTGTATGTTTCCAAAAAGAAAAGAATCCATCAAGGCCCTACCAAAGAGCCAATGGCTTCCATAATCGATGTCGCGTGATTGATTGGGTTGGTTGAACTCATATGCAAGAAACAAAATGTCATCTCATTTCCACCAAATCAGCCTAAATATAATGTTTTCCTTGATTGGGATACTAATTAAAAACACTAGTGAAAATTCAAAATCACAAGATTCTCACCAAATTTATCATATCACACATAAACACATCAAAAATAACAAAACAATGAGTTGTTTCAAATGAATAACAAGATCTAAAAATATCAAATGACCATAACACCAAGGAAATAACAAAGAAATTAAATGCCACAACATTGACATACTGACAAAGATCCATATCCATAAAGGCTGCCTGAAGAAAGCATGCCTAAGCCACTCCCAGATTCAGTTCTCTGTTCATAACCCATTGGAGCAATTCAGTTCTCTGTTCATAACCCATTGGAGCAACTGGAGGAACGCTAGGCAAAACTGTAGGCATAGAAAAACCAGTACCACTAGAATACATAGAATCGGCACCAGCAGAAGTATTATGACCACCTTCCCTGTCTTTTAAGACGTCATCTCGAAGCCGCAGAACAATTTGAATAAGTGCATCCCTCACCCTACTAACTTCCCCAACCACCTGAATGCAGAACAAAACATGTCAATGGAAAGCAAGGTAAAACTACACAAAAATACCAATTATATTAAAAGCTTATGGAAACAGCATGAAATATACCTCAACAAGTTCATCGGTGGAATCAGAACACTCAGGCTTCTCGCCTTTGGAGATACGGACATCAGCTTTAGTTCTCTTTCGGATCTCATTTATGATTGAACCACTTTTTCCAATTATACAACCAATAACCTTTCCAATTCATTTCTTAGCCCTTTAGTCTTTGTGAGTTCGCGTATGGAATACTGTAGCTCGACTTTTCTTGTCGCCCCCTTTCGGAAGGTTTCGAAAGAAAGCCCTACAGTTCGGACTCCTGTCACGGTTCTGAATCTAATCTCACAAGTGCAATGAG